GGAGAGGGAGAGGGAGAGGGGGAGGGGGAGAGGGGGAGAGGGAGTGAGGAAGAGAGAGAGAGTGTTCTTGTGCATTACATTACACTGCATTATATATAAAATTTATCTTTAGCCAAATGTGAGTCCTACGTTCTTCTAGACAACAGTAAAAGCAACTTCATATATTTTTACATTGCTTCTATCCCTTTGTTTTCCTTTCAATGATGATTACTGAATCATTCAGTAGCCCATTACTTTATTATATCTACCCATACATTTATTTAAATCTCAAGGACTAACCTTGTGGTGGTGGTGATGGCTGTGGTGATAGTATAGGCTTCTGTGGAGAATGAGGATGTGCAGGTGGTGGTTGGTGCCATGGTGATGAAGCTCCACGCGGACTAGCCCCACGGCTTAGATGTGGGGAAGCAGGCGTGCTGGGAGCTTGTGGAGGCTTTGGACTTGGACTATGCGTCAGAGGATGTGGAGAGGATCGTGATGTTTGAGCCTGGTGCCGTGATATTTGGGAGGATATTGATGTGGGTGGAGTGTGCCCAGGTGACAATCCTCCTGCAAGCAGTGGTTGATACTGTGCCCCAGCCAAAGATGGGTGCAGATGGCTCAGAGGGTATGTACTTAATCCTGCAGCAGCTGCTGCTGCTGCTGCTGCAACAGCAACAGCCTGAGCCATCTCAGGCTGTTGGGAAGACATGGCTGGGACTAGGCCTGGTGCCAGTGACTGGAGTCCTGGTGCTAGTGATTGCAACATCATATAGCGATGGTCCAAATAGGGAGTAAATCCATAAAGACTTGCCAGGCTACCCATTGAACCATATCTTCCCAGTTCATACCGATCTGACGATATTCTGCTGAGGTCTGACACTGGATCTTTTCGGTCCCTTGAGCCAGAAGTGAGTAGGTCCAACCTCTCTGCAGTTCCTCTATCTGTCCTCTCTTGTCTTTCCACTTTCACTGTGTTTGCCAACATGTCATTAGAATGCTCCTTTATAACACTGGGTTTAGACTGGGGAACACTGGTTTCTGGTTTTAATAAAGTTCTAAGGAAGGAATCACTTTTTCTATTGGCAGATTCATTGTTCAGTATGGAATCAATACTGTACACTGATGAAGTTTGTGAATTAATGGCACTTCTGTTGGTATGGTGATGAGAAGGGGAAGAGGATGAAGATGGTCTATCTCCAGATATATGAGACACACTGTTAGATCCAGAGTGAAGCTTTTTCCGATGTAAAGATTCTTGATCTGACTCCATCTGACGCAAATATCTTTTTCTTGGCGATACAAAGGTAGGATCAACTGTTTCAGCAATGACTGTCCGTTTCTCAAATAATGACTGAAGAGAAATCTTACTGTCCAATACCCAGCCAAGCTTTTCACCTAATGCACGAACCCTACTTTCTAATCTACTCTTTTTATCTTGTAATGCACCATTTCCACCACTTTCTGATTTTATAATCTTTCGAATAATTTCTTTTGGTTCTGAAGGATCCCGACATCCCACTGGACCTACAATACAGGCAAAGGGATTTCTTCTCAGTCTGATTTTCTTTCTCACATCCCGTGTGAGATGCAATGTGTGCCAATGGAACAAGAAACTCTGCCGCACCGAAGACTTATCACGCCGAGGCATTGACTGTTTTCTCACATGCTCTCCAGTCCAAGGGGAAGAGTTCAGTGAGGAACAGTCATCTGAAACTGTGTAAATTCATCAGTTACACAAAAACTTCTATAAAACTATATCAAAATTACTTTTAATATTTACAAGTAAAATGATACTGACAATATTGTTTATACATGTAAGTACAAACACACACACACACACGTGTATGTGTGTGTGTGTGTGTTTGCATGTGCGTGCATGAACATGCATGTCTGCATGAATGTACATGTGGGTGGATGTGTGCCAGCAGGAATGTATGTGCATCAGCAACATCAGATAACTCTCAAAGAACACAGTTCAAAATGTGACTACTTATCCTACTTACCTAAGCTATCTACGATTTCAATACCAATGCTACTATCTAAAAAAAGAAATCATCTTCCAGAGCTTAGTTGTTTCAAAAATACAATCTTGCTAGGTATCTCTCTTCTTTTTTGCCATTTGAAAATCCTCACAAATCCTAATATCTAAGTCGTCAGAGTTGTTAACCCAGCACTTACTTGACTGTGAAGTAGGTGTGTCATGTCGCAAAGGGAGCTGAGTGGTAGTAGTGGTAGTAGACGATGGAGGGGGCCAGTACGTCTTGCTTTTCACTGGCACCCATCCTGCTGAGGCACCCATGTCCGTGCGATGTGACAACTCCAGAAGGAACTTTCCCTCTGAAAAATTTGTTATTTATACTTTCAACGATGTAATATCCTATATAAAATGTATTCCTTATCTAATAACAGTATATTTTTCTATTTGAGTATGCATGATATATGTATTTGGAGGAGAATGGGGGCACATGTATGTGTATTTGGGTTTGGGTGTATGTGTGAGAGTAGATCTGAATTTCTATGTATGTATGAGTACTTGTGTGTGTGTGTGTGTGTGTGTGTGTGTGTGTGNTAATATATAATAATAATAATAATAATAATAATAATAATAATAATAAATAATATATAATAATAATAAATAAATAAATAAAAGGTCAAGCTACCTTTAAACGGAGAGAAAATTCGCATCTTTATCTAAGGGAAATTCGCACTCATTCTGCTTCGGGATCTACGACCTTCCGAGTTGCGAGTGGGCGCCGGGAGTCTGGGTTGTGGGCGTGGACAGGTCTCGTTGTTGTTGTTGTTGGTGTGGTTGGTTGTGTGTGGTTGTTTGGTTGTGTGTGGTTGTGTTGTGTGGTTGTTTGGTTGTGTGGTTGTTGGGTGTTTTTGGTTGTTTGGTTGTTTGTGGTTGTTTGGTTGTGTGTGTTTGTTTGGTTGTGGGCGTGGACTGGTGCTCGTTGTTGTGTGGATGTTTGTGTGGTTGTTTGGTTTGTTGTGGTTGTTGTTGTGTGTGTCGTGTGTGTTGTGTTGGTTGTTGTGTGGTTGTTGGTGTGTGGTTGTGGTGGTTGTTGTGTTGTGTGTGTGGTTGTTTGGTTGTGTGTGGTTGTTTGGTTGTTGTGTGTGTTGTTTGGTTGTGTGTGTTGTTTGATTGTGTGTGGTCTGTTTGGTTGTATGTGGTTGCTTGGCTTGTTGTGGTTGTTTGGTTTGTGTGTGTGGTTGTTTGGTTGTGTGTGGTTGTTGTTGTTTGTCTTGTTGTTGTGTGCGGTTGTTTGTGGGGTTGTTGTATGTATCTGTTGGGTGTGGTTGGTTTGGTGGTGTTTTTTCATGGCATCACTCTCTGTGTATGGCTGTGTGTGTGGTTATAGGTCTATTTATCTATCTATCTAGACAGATAGATAGATAGACAGAGAGAGCGGAAGAGAGAGACAGGGAGAGAGAGAACGGGAGAAGAGAGAGAGAAGAGAGAGAGAGAGAGAGAGAGAGAGAGAGAGAGAGAGAGAGAGAGAGAGAGAGAGAGAGAGAGAGAGAGAGAGAGAGAGAGAGAGAGAGAGAGACAGAGAGAGAGAACGGAAGAGACAGAGAGAGAGAACGGGAGAGAGAGAGAGAACGGGAGAGAGAGAGAGAGAGAGAGAGAGAGAGAGAGAGAGAAGAGAGAGAGAGGAGAGAGAGAGAGAGAGAGAGAGAGAGAGAGAGAGAGAGAGAGAGAGAGAGAGAGAGAGAGGGAGAGAGAGAGAGAGAGAAGGAGAGAGAGAGAGAGAGAAAGAAGAGAGAGAGAGAGAACGGAAGAGAGAGAGAGAGAGAGAAAGAGAGAGAAGAGAGAGAGAAAGACGAAAGAAAACGAGTTGTGTTCACCGTTAAGAACAGTGAGAGCCAGAGACAGGTTTTCGCTTTCGGAGCGTATGTGAAAACGCCTAAAACATCGAAAAATCCACACACGCACGCACCGCACACACACACACACACACACAACACTTACATTATACAATAATAATAAAATAAATAATAATAATAATAATAATAATAATAATTAATAGATGATATAAAAAATAGTAATAATAAAAATAAAAATAATAATAGTAATAGATAATAATAAAAAATAATAGTAAAAATAATAATAAAAAAATAATAGTAATAAATAATATAATAATACTAATAAACAATAAAAATAATAACAATAATAATAAAAGAAACGAAAAAAAAACTCCCCAAACTCACGAAACGAGAAAGTACATCGAAACCCAGTCAAGAAAAATTGCAAGACTCATAATAATAAAAATAATAATAGTAATAAATAATTAAAAATAATAATCTAAATAACCAAAATAATAACAATAATAAAAAGACGAAAAAAAAACTCCCTTTCAAAACTTACGAAACTAAAAAGTACATCGAAACCCAGCCAAGAAAAATTTGCAAGACTCAAGCCTCACGCACCCCCCCCCCCAGTCTCTCGGCCGCGACCAGTAACCTGCCGTTCCAATCTGAGAATCGCTTCGTCTGATTCGCGATTAGAAAAAAGGGGGGGAAGATCTACCGCCGTCTCCTGCTATGCCTGAGGGACGGCTGGACGGTTCCGTGAGAGGGTATGTGCGGACGGCTGAAGTATGTGTGAGAACGGGTAGTGTATATGCGAGCAGCTAGGGTATGTGCGAACGGCTGAAGTATATGCGGATGACTTGTGTGTGTGCGAGCAGCTAGGGTATGTGCGAATAGCTAGGGTATGTGCGGACGGTATGGTGCGGAGGCTGGTGTATATGCGAGCAGCTAGGGTATGTGCGAACGGCTGGTGTATATGCGAGTAGCTAGAGTATGTGCGGACAGCATATAATGTATATGCGGACGGCTTCCGTATGTGCGAACGGATAGTGTATATGCGAACAGATAGGGTATGTACGGATGGGAAGCGTATGTTTGAACGGCTTGTATGTGTACGGGCGGCCTGCGTATGTGCGAACGGCTGAAGTATGTTTGAACGGCTTGTATGTGCGAACGGCTGGTGTATATGCGAACATCTAGAGTATGTGCGTACGATTTGAGTATGTGCGAACGGCTAGTGCATGTGCGAGTAGCTAGAGTATGTGCGAACGGCTGAAGTATATGCGGACGGCTTCCGTATGTGCGAACGGCTTGTATGTGTACGGGCGGCCTGCGTATGTGCGAACAGCTGATGTATGTGCGAACGGCTGAAGTATGTGCGGATGGCTTCCGTATGTGCGAACGGCTGGAGTATGTTTGAACGGCTTGTGTATATGCGAACGGCTGGAGTATATGCGAGTAGCTAGAGTATGTGCGGATGGGAATCGTATGTTTGAACGGCATGTGTATATGCGAACGGCTGGAGTATATGCGAGTAGCTAGAGTATGTGCGGACGATTTGAGTATGTTTGAACGGCTAGTGCATGTGCGGACGGAGAAGCGAATGTGCGGACGACGTAGTCATCCTTCTTCGTCTCTCCCGGATGCGAGGAAAAGGAGTACACGCCACGAAAGGAGTGAGGAGAGAGGGAGAGGGAGAGGCGAGGAGTGAGGAACAGGAGAGGGAGAGAGGGAGAGGGGTGAGAAAGATAANGTTGATTGATTGATTTAGGTTTTAGAATTCGCATTTGTTACAATTGGATATTCTTTGTTGTGATATAACTGGTCCGTTTTATTTTGCTTCAAAAGTCACCCCCTGTGTGCGACGAATGGCCGGGGTGACCAGCGCACTGGCAAGCAGCGCGCGAGATCGAACGCAGGTCCAGCAAGATTGCTAAGACCAACACATCTACCGCTGCAGGACAAGAGAAGAGTGAGAGAGAGGGAGAGAGAGGGTGGGGGAAGAGGGTGGGAGTAGTGAGGAGAAGAATGGGAGAAGAGAGGGTGGGTGAGAGGAAGAGTAGAGGGAGAGGGAGGGAGGGGTAGAGAGAGGTGTGGCGGGAGAGGGGAGAGAGAGGGTGGGTGAGAGGGAGAGAGAGGGTGGGTGAGAGGGAGAGAGAGGGTGGGGGAGAGGGAGAGAGAGGGTGGGAGAGAGGGAACAAGATGAGGATGCGGAGAGAGGGACAGAGAGGTGCGAAGAAGAGAGGGTGGGTGAGATTCAGGGAGATGAGAGGTGGGAGAGAGGAGAGAGAGGGTGAGGGAGAGGGTGGTGAGTAGGGAGAGAGAGGGTGGGTGAGAGAGGGAGAGAAGAGGGTCCGGTGAGAGGGAGAGAGAGGTGGGAGAAGAGGGAGAGGAGAGGGTGGGAGGTGAGTGGAAGAAGAGAAAAGCGGGTAAGAGGAGAGAAGAGGATAGGACGGAGAGTGAGAGAGGGTGAACAAGGAAGGGACAAAGAGAGAGAGAAAGGAAGGAAGGAGAGGGAGAGCTAATGGATAGAGAGAGACAGAGAAACCAGAAGACATAATGCAGAGAGGAGAGAGTATTCGTGGGAGGAAGGGAGAGGCCTATGTGATAGAGAGAGAGAGAAATAGAGACATAATGCATCAGAGAGAGAGAGTATCGTGCAAAGAGTTAAGCACACTCTTATGGCACTTCATCTTACCGTTGCGAGTAATGTGCCACCCATTATGTGTCGCTTGACGAGGAAAAGACTAATCGCTTAAACTACGTCTCTTTTGTTCGTCTTTACGGAAAGAGCATTTATTTATAATTTTTAATATAAGAACTGTTGTTGTGTGTGTGTGTGTGTGATGTGTGTGTGTGTGTGTGTGTGTGTGATGTGTGTGTGTGTAGTGTAGTGTGTGTGTGTGTATGTTGATGGATGTTGTAGTGTGTGTCGTGATGTGTTGTGTGTGATGTGTTGTGTGTGTGTGTTGTGTGTGTGCTGTAGTATGGTTGTGTTGTGTGTGTGTTGTGTATGTGGTGTCTGTAATGGTTGAAGCGTGTACTGTGTGTGTGGTGTTTTGAATGTATCTGTAGCGTGTGTGCGTTTGTGTGCCACCTATATTTACATTACATCTTTCTAAAAGCACTTGATCTCCATTCACGGAAAAGCTATCAAACGGAAAACATTATTTTTTATATTGTCTTTCGCTGAATTTTTTGTTTGTTTGTTTTGTTACCAATATCGGAAAGAAGTTCTTTGATAGGGGGTGGATGGAGGAGGAGAAGAAAAAGAAGACGAAGAAGGAGAAGGAGGAGAAATAGAAGAAGAAGAAGAAAGAAAAAGAAAAAGAAAAAGAAAAAGAAGAAAAGAAAGCAAAGAAGAAAAAGAAAAAGAAAAGAAAAAGAAAAAGAAAAGAAAAGAAAAGAAAAGAAAAAGAAAAGAAAAAGAAAAAGAAAAAGAAAAAGAAAAAGAAAAAGAAAGAAAAGACGAAAGACGAAGACTAAGACAAGACGAAGAACGAAAGACGAAGACGAAGACGAAGACGAA